AAGTACTTTAAACTGTATAAATAATGTAAAATTAAATTGATTTAAACAGCCAATCATACGAATGTCTGCCTATGAATCCTATGCCCTGTCATTTCCAAGAAAAGTCTACCTTATCCATCAGATTGAAATGTATGCGATGAATATAATAAAAAAACAAAACAATAAAATATTATCAGTTATAATATTTAAATTTATTAGAAGCATTAATTAAGATATTTAGACATTTATTTACACTTGTACAGGTATTTTATATTGTACAAACTTGTCTTTTGTCAAAAACATTAATATAAATGAAATTTTTTGCCTAAAACTTTTCTTTTTATGAACACATAATTAAAGAAAACGATGTTAAGAAATGAAAATTATTCAATTATCTTGACTCATCGTTGAATTATATTTTGAATGAACTGTATTCTTGCACACGTTAAGATGAAGCTTCTTTTACTGACAAGCTTTCGTCAGGATGTTCTATATGCGTGCTTGAATCCTCGACTTTGTGGTCGTTCAATGATGATTTGTCATTAATACATGAATCATCGGTATTTTCAATCTGATCGACTTTTTCATCAGATGTAGGTGTTGAATTAGAAGGATCCTCAATGTTTTGAATCGTTTCTATCATTTTAGCAGTCCTGATCCATTTTCTCCTACGAGTATATCTTCTGAATCCACTTTTAGAAGATGGATTATTCCATCGATTATCGAAATATCCCCAACCCTCTTTATCAACAGCACCCTCAGTATCAATCCACCAATTTGGATCAACCCATTCCCATTCTATTGTCTTTCGAATGAGTATATTAGGATTTTCTGGTGATTTCGTTTCCGTTACCTTACGCTGAGGAAGTTCAAACGTATCTTTATCACTAATTGGTTCATTATATTCATCTGACCTATATAAAAAAATAGATTATAGTGTTAATAATAATAAAGAATCAACTATGATTTATAATATATATATATATAAATACCAAGGAGGTCTTTCGTTAGGAAATAAATTTGTTGTCCAATCTAACCCAAGCCACCAACGTTGATTTTCACATATAACAAACCGATAGATTAAATCTACAGATGTCGTTTTTGTATCTTCCTTTGAAGATATACTTCTTAAAGGAAATTTTTTCTGTTGTTCTCTTACTTTACGAAACATACCGGACAAATCTCTAGTACCAACGGAAAACCCTTTACCTTCTTGTTGCAAACCTCCACTACATAGAAAACCAAGTACAAAGTTTACAAATCCACTGAATAATTGAGATTGCATAAGGGTATATCGAATAACTTTGGACCATGGACTATTCCATACAAAGAAACATGTACCAACAATTATGAATATCCATGATAACGATACAAAATAGTTGAATAAAATCCATACAGGATATGAATAAGCTAAACCAAATAACACCTTTCGTGTTTGTACAGGATTTGACCAATTAATATAAGAATTCACATGATTGAGAACTTTATGAAAAGAAGCGAGTTTGTCTGAAATGTTATGTATCTCTTGAACGGTTCTATTTAGATCTAATTGTGAAGTCGCTAATGTAAAGTTGGACTTTCCTTTTTTAAAAAATATATATATATATATACATATATTTATATATGAATAATTTAGTTAACATTTATGCAAA